GAGTCTAATATTCTCAGCTCCCGGAGTTCAGACCTGTCATATGTCCATTCTGTTCTAGAAGCTCTGACGAAGAATGGCAGAATTTCCAGATAATTGAAACCCCTTGTGTAAAAAGTTGTGTTTTTTTAAAATTTTTTTTAGATTAATATATACTTGATTTGCTTTTCTTCACCTGTCCAAACAAGGATTTTAAATTTTGGTTATTACTTCCTTGTCCTGGAAAATGATTGCTTGTAATATGAAGCCTTTCTCAGTTTGGTATCTTTCCACTGGTTAACTGATTATGGTCATCAGTGTTTTAGAAAGCAAAAGAATGAATGAATGAGTGAATGGCTAGCTATCTAGACTCACAAATAATTTCTGTTGCATGCTCTGTTGTTTTGATGAGCCTTGCCATGTCTAAGGCTTTGTCTCTTTTCAGCTTTTTTTTTCCCCTCATAGTTTCCAGGTACTGTCACAAACCATGTGATTCTTTGATAGCTAAGCTTCTAATACTTTTTTTTTAAATGTTCATTTTCATTAAAGTGCTATTTAACATTAGATATTAACTTTGACAGATGTTAATGCTGCTTCTCAATTAGGTGGAATATATTCTTGGGAAGATGCCAATTTGAATTGAATATATTTGAATTTGGTATTGAATCAAACTGTTGTTTAAACCTTAGCCATCCATCATATGGGTGATCGAGCAGCCAACAGATTTTTTGTACATAAGTGGTTTTTTTCCTAGCAATATTTAAACATTAGAAAATGGCTTCCTATTGTAACGAAGAGAACGTCATACAAATTTACTACAAGATCTCTTTTTTTGTCAGTTCTTTAAATTGGCACATACTAGTTTGGTATAAAACCCACTCCAGTATTCTTGCCTGGAGAATCCCATGGATGGAGGAGCCTGGTGGGTTACAGTTCACGGGGTCGCAAAGAGTCGGATACGACTGAGCGACTTCACTCACTCAGTTACTTTGGTATAAAATGCTTTCCATGGACAGTATTAATACTTAAAAATCCCTTTTGATCCTGCAGATTTCCAGTAGACAGTACGTCTAGCTCTATTTGCCCCTTGGCTACTAGTAAATGCTGTTAAATTATTATTTATCTTTTTTAGGCAGAGGCACTGCAGGTATGAGATCAGAATAGCCTAGTAAGGCAAGCATTTTGTTTTAAAATAAAAAAAAAAACAACAACCTCATAATCCTGTCAAAAGTAGCAACTAAGGAGTGGATACTAGAAAGAATTGTGAACTTGCATCAGAGAATCTGGGTTGTCCCCCTACTTGTGTCACTGCCTAGCTGGGTCAACCCCGAGTAAGTCACTACCTGACTCCCCATAGCATATTGTCTCTAAAGGCTCAGCTTCCACATCACATATTCTATATACAAAAGGGAGCAGGGCCAAGAGAAGCTGAATCCTCTTGTTTATCAGCCATCTACCCCAGTCTAGCAGCTCTGAAGTAGTCTCCAGCCTCATTTTTTTCATCTTTTTAATAATCCCTTAAATCCTTGCTAGGCTTTCATTGCTAGTTCTTTTCCCTAGGAATTTGCATTTAGAGATACTGAGGGCTTCCTGCCTTTTGGAATTTGTCTATGCACATGAATTTAATGAAAAGTTACCAATGAAAAATGCAAAAATTAAAAGTCTTGTTTGAATGAGTGTTTCTGTAAAATCAGACTGTTTACATCATGATTAACATACCTTTATTAGTTCAGTGTTTTGAAATTAATACCTTTGAGTGTCATATAGCAAGGCACGATTGTTATTTTATCTTATTAGCCATGCTATCATTTTCCCACTCACTCTTTGGTGTAAACATTTTTTTAAGTCCCTGGTGAGTGAGCAATAGACTCCATATCACAAGGAAAGCTTCCTAGCCTGGTCCTCAGTTGCACTTGAACGTTTTGTTGATTTGAAATAGTTTGAATTGTACTGAGCTAAAATATATCTTTCACTGGTTTGCTAGGAAATAAAATAATAACCTGTCTCAGAGTGTTGAGAAATTAACTGTATGGCAACTTCAACATGTGTATTTTTTAAATATATATAAAAGCTAGAGCTAGATACAAAAATCTCTTCATTAAAGGAGACCTAGTACTATAATGAAAAAGGCAGACAGTAAGAAGTGTTGGCGAGGATGTAGGGATATTGGAACCCTTGTACATTGCTGGTGGGAATGTAGGATGGTACAGCCACTATGGGAAACTATTTGCTGGTTCCTCAAAAAGTTACACAGAATTACCATGTGATCCAGCAATTCGACTCCTAGGTATGTACCCAGGAGAAATGAAAACATTACTTTCCACAAAAAACTCATACATGAATATTCATAGCAGCATTATTCATAGTAGCCCCAAAGCAGAAATAACCCAAATGTCCTTCAACAGATAAATGGAAAACAAAAATATGATATATCCATAGTATTGAATATTATTGTGCAGTTAAAAGGATGATGTGCTTTTACAAAATGTATTAAAGTGGTGCTAGTGGTAAAGAACCTGCCTGCCAATTCAGGAGACATAAGAGACGAGGGTTTGATCCCTGGGTTGAGAAGATCCCCTGGAGGAGGGCATGGCAATCCACTCCAGTATTCTTGCCTGGAGAATCCCATGGACAGAGGAGCCTGGCAGGCTACAGTCAGTGGGATTGCAAAGAGTAAGACATGACTGAGTGACTAACACATGCAGATACATCCTGCAACATGGATAAAACCTCAAAAACATTATCCCAAGTGAAAGAAGCCAGACACAGATGGTCATGTGACCACTTGTATGATCATACCATTTGTATGATTCTACTTATATAAAATGTCCAGAACAGGCAAATCCATAGAGACAGAAAGTAGATTAGTGCTTGCCAAGAGCTGGGGGGAGGGAAGAATAGGGACTGACTCCTAACAGATATAGGGTTTCTTTGTGATGTGATGAAATATTTTAAAATTGGATGGGGTAATGATTGTATAATTCTGAATATACTAAAAATCATTGAATTATGTACATTGAAAGGGTGAATTTTACGGTATGTGAATTGTATGTCAATAAAGCTGTTTTATAGGAAAAGCATTAGCAACTATATTACTGTAGTTATTTGAAATTATAAAAGTGTATTTAAATTACATTTCTCCCAGGGGCTGGGAGGAGGGAGGAATGAGGAGTTAGTGTTATTGGGTGCCTAGTTTCAGCTGGGCAAGATGAAAAAGTTCTGGAGATCGATCGGTGGATGGTGGTGGTGGTTGTACAACAAGTGAATGTATTTAAGCCCAGAGAAATATACACTTAAAAGTGGTTAAAGTGGTAATTTTTATGTTGTGTATATTTCACCACAATAAAATCTATAACCCTAAAAATAATATGTTATTCTAATGTATAAGGCTTTTTACCCTCTCTTAACCTCTCTTTTTCTTTTCAAAAGGAAAACTGAAAGTGTGAATTTGGGTTTTTATGCATGGGATTCTTCTGTTTTTTACAACACCTCTCCTGGGTGGGGTTGGGGGGTATAATACACACATCATATGTGTCTTTATGTTGGCTTTGGATGATAACTTGAAAATATTTCTTAAGACTTTTATTTGCCAGTTGGAAAATAAAAGAAGCCAAACCATAGGAAATTTACGTTGTTAAATTATGAAACAGTGAAATGCTATTCTCAGAGTATGAATTATCACAGATTTCCTGGTTTTCTTGGTTCATCTTGGCTCCTTGAATGGGGAAAACATGTATGCTCTCTATATAACATCTCTGTCTTTCTGTAAGCATTTTCCTCTGTATGGCAGGATAGAATGAGCACCACAATGTATCGAAATACTTAACAAACATAGGGGTATATTTGTACAATACGGTGAGTGAGTTTCTGAATGGAAAGGAAGGGGTAGAAAAAAGAAAATCCAGCAATGAGGAAGTCACTGAAAAAGGAATTAAATTATTTCCAAAGGTCATGGAACTTCGTTATGACCCAAGCAGTTTGTGGGCTCTGTTTGTAACCTCTAAGGATTAATCTGTGAAAACATTTCTAAGCCTGGCTCTGCTATACAGGACATTTGAAGATCGACAGCACAAATGCCGTTAATACAGTGGGCAGTCAGAGGTGTGTTTGTTTTCTTGACCAGGAAGTGGTTTCTTTTAAAAGTACAGGAGCACACAGTGCCTGTGTTTGTGTGTATGTCTTTGTCTTTTCTGTCTGTTCTACTGTTGCAGGAAGAATTATGGTCTTGCAACATTTTTGTCCTTTACAGTGAGGTTTTTCTACAATTTGGCACTGTGGTACACTACCCTTGATTACAGGATTGAATCAGAGTTGATGTACTCAGAAATCCATTTATGTGATTAATGGTCTTCTAATCATAATTTTATTTCCTAAGATTAGCCCTATTTCCTGAAGTTTCACAATTTTTGAGTAGTATCTTGAATCCTCCTTTAGAGGGGGCCTGAAATCTTTGTACTTTTAGTCCATAATTTGCATGATAATTTTCATTTTCTTTGATTTCTTTTGCTTGAAGAAAATAGCATTTTTACCTTTTTTTGAACTTTTTATATGTTGTTCTATGATAGCTGTCCAACCTAGTGTGAATCTTTTTTTTTAACAACATGAAATATATATATGTATATATATATATATTATATGTTTTTTCTACCAGTGCTAGATGTAGAATTCGTCCCCTAAGTTTCCACTGCTCTAGTTTTCATTCTCCTCAAAAATCAAATAAAACATTGTCAAATTCTACAAGTAACAGGGAAGTATACAAGGAAATGACTATACAGGAAATGTAATTGATCATTCACTCTTTACAATTGAATCGGTCACAGCATTGGCTAGTAAACACAATCTGCTGAATGAACAAAAATAACTTCTAAAATCTTTGGAGCGCTTGAATGCATTTGGAAATTTTGGCACCTTTCTCACCTTACTGATTTTTTAAGAAATTCTTACCTTTTTCAAATGATTGTCTGCATCTGAAACTAGGAACTCATATCTAGTGACTGTTTTAATATTTGCTTTGTTTTCAACAGTGCCCTTAAAGATAGCCGTTTTCCCCCAATGACAAGGGATGAGCTGCCACGGCTGTTCTGCTCAGTGTCTCTGCTCACTAACTTCGAAGACGTCTGTGATTATTTGGACTGGGAGGTAAGACAATAGAGAATTTTTAAAGAAAAAGGAAGGTAACTCCTGAGTAATTGTTTAAAAATTAGGCCCAAGATAACTCTTTTGTAATGGAGATGGAGATAACTGGATAAATAAACCTCACAGCTGATCAATGAAATGTGAGTGAAGGAGTTTTTCTTTTTTTTTTTTTTGAAGGCAAAGTACCTTATGTTGTTTAAATACCCCAAACTAAATTTGCTCTTCATTTTTATGCTATTAACTTCACTACAGCACCTCATAAAAGCTGTTAACAAGTAGTAAACAGGATTGATTAGAATTTATTTCTCCTTTCTGGTATGACTGCCACCAAACAGTTAGGTAGTCAGAGGATATATCACAGTAACAAGTGGCAAAAGGGTTAGGATAATATACCAGTTGGGGAAATCAGCTCATGGATAATAATGGGGTGTTGATTAACTACAAGTAAATCATGCTAATTCATTCTTGGATACCTTAATCTATGTACTTGCACACACGAACAAGTAAGAGTGTATCTAGGGTATCTCTGTGCATTACAATTATAGTAGCCTATATTGATCATCTTTTTGTTCTTCTTTAGTATGTGGGGTTGAGTTGTTAAGAAACTTCAGATTCTCACCATGATTTGTTTTGGTGGTTGGGTGGTGTTAGTTAGTTAAGTCACTCAGTCGTGTCCGACTCTTTGTGACCCCGTGGACTGTAGCCCATCAGGCTCCTCTGTCCATGGGATTCTCCAGGCAAGAATACTGGAGTGGGTTGCCATTTCCTTCTCCAGGGGATCTTCCCGACCCAGGGATCGAATCCAGATCTCCTGCATTGCAGGCAGATGCTTTAACCTCTGAGCCACCAGGGAAGCCCTGGGTGGTGTTAGTTGAGTGTATATCTATGAAATTTTACATGTGAACATACCCATGTTACCTGGCTGCTTACTATATTCCAGGCATGTGCCTCATACATGTAAGTGCTGAGATTTGGTCCCTGCCATAAATATCTTATAGTCTAATAGCAGAGAGAAGAAGTATACACAAGCACAAAGAAATTAAGTGGTCTAAGAATGAAACAATGGGAATTCAGTGATACACAGAGCATTCATGTGCATATAGATACTCACAAATGACTTGACTATATCATCATGATATAACATGATGTTTAATTCTACTGCCTTTTTAGAATGACTATCCCCCATGGTAACTGAGATATTTTATTCTGTGGACAGGCCACTTTCTTGACAGTTAATTTTATTTTTGGCTTCCCCCTCACTCCTTGTGATATCCTGGACAATTTACTCCACTGTGTTTCAGTTTTCCACATACAGAAAAAAAGACATTTATAAAGTTCTTAATCTTCATTGAAAAAAATCTCCATGATATAAATATTGTTATGCGAGAGCTATTTAAAAAATTCTTCAGAGAGTAGGATGAAACAGTCCCTTTCTGGGGCTTGTGGTAGGATTTTCTTTGAGCATTATTAGAATATGAAAGCATCTTAAGATTTTTTTGTAAAGGAAAAAGTAAAATTTGTTGATAGTATTGACCCTGGCAAAGTTGGAACCTTTTATAGAATTAAAATATTCTAGTTGATCCTTTTCTGTAAGTTTTATTGTTCCTATTTGAATTTTTCTTAAAGAGATATCTACCGGTATTATAGAAATGCCTCAGTACTTTATTTTTAAGTGATCCCAAATCATATCCCTTACTTATTAACAAATAATATTGTAATGTTTTAAGAGTACTGCTTCCTCTTCTCTAGCTAGACTTATATTTCTGCTTTCTGAATCACAGGGTGCTATGTGTGTATTGGTAGGGATGGGAGTGATAATAGCAGAAGAAGCCTGAGATCTAGGGGGTGACTGGGCTACAAAAACATTCCTACCTTTACTTGCAGCCACTGGGTTGGAAGTACAGTTCAGAAAGGGTGCATCAGTGTGTGCAGAAGTGTGCATGTGTGACATGTACATGAATGTTTATTGCATAAATGTGTGTGCATATGTTCTCGGGGAAGGAAAAATGGGAAAAGCCAACAGTTGCTAAATAGGTATGGGTAAGCACACCATCATCTTCTTTAGTCCACATCGAGTAGTGTCTACAGCTAAGATGAACCTAGATACTATTGGGCTTGTATGTTCATGAGATATGTTATCTTTCTGTTGGGAGGGTGAAAGGTAAAGCACTTAAGAGTTGGTACTGTGTACTCTTTTAGGGTGTATTCATCCTCTCTGATCACCATCTGCTAGTTTGAATTTTTAGAAGATTCTATATATATGTTACTACCTGGCATTATATATTTAATACAGCCCTTAAAGTTTAAATATTGATGTCTATTTAATGATGCTTTTCTGTTAAAGAAGCAACAAAAAATATACATATATTTTTGTACTTTTAATATATAAGCATTTGAAAGTGATTTAAGTACTGCTAGAATAGCTATGCTAAGAGGAAAAGACTGTCATTTTCAGTTACTTCATCATAGTTTAAAGTATTTAGCATAAGATAAATTTGTTCCCAAAGAATAAGGATGAAAATTACATTTTTAAAAAGAGTGTGATTTGGCCTTTAAAAAAATGTACCTAATCAGTATTATAAGGATTATCCTTAACAATTTTGAGAAAAGCATTGCTACTTTAAACACAGAATGCCAAAGTAGAATTAAATAAATTTTTTAAAAAGCATATGTCAGTAACCTTCCTCTGCTAAGTATATACCCCAAAGAAATGAAAACAGATGTTGAAACAAAAACTTGTCCATGAATGTTCATAGCAGCACTATTCACAATAGCCAAAAGGTGGAAAACAACTCAAACGTCTCTCAACAGATGACTGGATAAAATGCATTATAGCCAAAGAATTGAATATTATTCAGCCATTAAACAAATGAAGGACTGATACATACTACAACAGGAATGAGCCTTGGAAACATTATGCTAAGTGAAAAGAGCCAGGCACAAAGGCCACATCCTGTATGATTCTGTTTATAAGAAATATCCAGAATGGGCAAATCGTAAAGATAGACAGCAGATTAGTGGTTGCCAGGGGTTTGGGGGAGGGTATGAATGGGAAGTGAATGCCTAATGGGTACAAGGTTTCCACTGGAGGTGATGAAAAACTTCTGAAACTGGATAGTAGTGATGGTTGTATAACATTGTAAACGTACTTAATGCTACCTATTTTGTACACTTGCAAGTGGATAAAATGGTAAATTTTATGTTATGTGTATTTTATCAAATAAAAAGGTACATGTGCATATGCATATATATGTATATATTTTAAACTACTGCCCACAATAATATAGTAATTCTAAAAAGAATAAAACTTTTAAAATTCAAAAAATATAAAGAAAGAGCTGCAAGCCATTTGGAATTACACCATTCTGAGATAACTGTTAATATTTTGGAATTCTTTCTCTTAATTCTTTTTGTGTCTTTGTATCAATAAAACTACATCTTTGCTTATGTAACTGAGATTATATTAAATTTACAGTCACTATTAAAAAGAAGGTTATAGGGGAGCCTGTTATGGTTTATCTTTGTATATATGTTAATTATTTTTTGTGGAATTCCTTTATGAGGAGTCAGTCTATATTAAGAAGGTATACATTTCACTTTGAGAAATTTCACACTGTCAAATAAGTATAACTTTTCTTCTAAGAATGAAATATCCTATTCACCATAAGTATCTAATTTTAAACTGTAATACAAAGTACTATGTATGTTTGTACCAGAGGGGGAAACAGGAGATGATTACAGAATTTCAATGGAGAATTTTTAAGTCAGGGATCGATCGGTAATGAGTATGTTTTATATAAGCAGCAACCTCGAACATAGCGCTTTTCTGGTGGAAGTACAGTTTGAGAGTTGACCCCCACTGGTGAAGCGTGTTACTGCAGTAGAATTCCTAATTAAAAGGACGAAAATGCCCAGATCAAAGAAGGAAGAGGGCAAAGTCTGGGAGTCCCCAGGATAGAGTTAGGTAACTTCAACAACAACAAAGACATCCCTGGGGTCATGAGGATGAGGGACGTGACCAGAGGTAATAGACACCTAATTTTCAAATGATCAGGAACAAGTGAGCTGCCACAGGGCTGGCAGTTACTCTCTTCTTCAGCCAAGGTTTTTAACTCAGCCTATTTGGGATCTCTCTTTCGGTAACATGTCTCTAATTTTATGACGGCATTTAGTAGGAAAATAGGATTTACATCAGACCTTTAGAGGCTAGAATGCTTCTATCTGATAATGTGAAGAATGTGTGATAAGTGGTTTCACAAGTGGATGTAACTAATTGTCACGTCACTGTTGAATTGACAAAATGATCAGTAATGCTTCCATCTGTTATATTTCCTCAAAATGAAACGTGTCAAAATGAAAGTGTCTGCAGGTAGCCTCTCAAGGAATCTGCATAGTCATTAAAAACAACAAAACCAGCCACCAAAGGCTTGAAAGACAAATTGGAATAGGTTCCCTCCCTTCTGAGAATTGCTGACCAATGCCCACATCATGATCTACTTATTGCCCTGATAGGTATGAGAAGAATGAGGAGTGATTGATCTGGGCAGGGGCGGGGGCGGGAGTGGGTGGATGGGTAATAATTAACTGGTAAGTTGAAATACCTACCTGCAACGTAACATGGTTGTTAAATGAGGAAAATTACATCTCTAGGGAGATATCTGAAGTGATCTGCCTTGTGTTTGAACACAAAAACTTATCATTGTTCTGTATTCTTCAATTGACAACACTGTTAGAATTCTGAGTGGCAGGATGGCTGACAGACATGGTGCTTTAGAGAGGGGGAAGAAGAAAGAGCTCATGCAGCATGTTGGAGTCCTCTGAAATGATAGGGAGCCTAGAACTTGTGTAGTTACACTGTTTGGGAGCCATGTTTCCTTTTAAAGATCTGAACGAAGATAAAACCAGTGACATCATACTCCCTGGAGTTTGACTCAAGGGGTGATTCTAGGTGTGTCATCTACTAGCTGCTCATTTTCAGGACTATATAAATGAATAAGCCTTTT